ACATTTTTTTTCTTTTTTTTGTAAATAGGCAATTATAGTATTGAAAAATATTAGTGTATAGATTGATTTTAATGTATTTAAGTAATAAATATTAATTATTTTATTATTTGTCAACTAACAGTTACAGTATTAGTTGTTTTAACAATAAAACTAAACATAATTAATATTTTAAAGGATAATATTTAAAAATTTGTGTGACTTCAACAATTTATTATGTAATCGTAGTCATTTTTTTTTCAGTTTTTTAATATATGTACTTTATTGTATTGTTTTGAGAGCTGGCTCGACCTGATCGGATTAGTAGTTGAACCGAATTTAATTCTAAAAATTGCCTGGATTATGATAATAATCCATTTGAATTTAAATTTGATCAAAACTTACTCCGACCTAATCAAACTCACCCAAACCATTCAACTCAGTTGTGTCAAACCCACCCAAATCCAGTCATCTTAGTTGACCCAAACTGCTTCAACTCTTTTTTTAAACATTTTCACATTTTTACATTTTTTAATTTTTATTTATTTAATTAATAGATAATATAATAATTAAATTGTAAAATCTATTTAAAGTCAAAGCACAATTAATGAATGAAAATTTTTAAATTAATTTAAATATCATTTAAAATTAAATTACTATTTCAAATTAGAGAGTGATTTTAATTTAGAATCAAATCAATTTGATTTTGGAAATAAAATAAATAACCACTTTATATAATGAAATAAATGAAATCAATTTAAAGTTAAAATTAAAATTAATTTTAAAAATAAAATCAATTACTACTTTAGATAATAAAATGAATGAAATCTTTTTAAAATTAAAATTAAATGAAATTAATTTAAAATTAAAACTAATCTCAAACAATTTAAGAAATAAAATCAATACAAGGAAAAAATAATTTTATAATTAATATGATATTAATGTTTTAGATGCCTATTAAAAAAAATATGTTACATTTTTTAATAAATTTAATGAATGAAATTAATTTCAAATTAATAAATTTCAAAAATGAAGTCTTAAAAATTAATAATTACTTCAATCAATAAATACAAAAATGATTTCAATCAATCTTAAAAATAAAATTAATTAAAATAAAAATAATTTAAAATTACAAAGATAAATTAAAAAACATTTATTAAGTTAACTAATTAAATCAATTAATTAGTTAGATCAATTCAACCAATTGAATGAACCCAGTGACGAAAATGGGTCGGGCCGGCTTCAAGACATTACTTTATTGTTTCTTTTTTATATAGAGAATTCTTTAAATAAAATAAAAAATAGAAATAGAATACTTTTCGCGTTAATTTTTGAAATATTTTTTCTGCTAAAAAATTCAAATTTAAGTGTTATATTCTTTTCTATTTTTAATTTATGTTCTAGCCTCTTTCCTCGCCATTTATTGAACTATGAAAAAAATTCATTTATTGACTTTCGAGGGATGTGAGTAATGTGACATTTTTCCAAGTTTTCTAATATTAATTACCTTGCGAGACGCATAAACGATTACTTTTGGTTTCTCTATTAATTATTCCGAATGGTCAGACACCAGACTGAAAATCTTTTGGTCTTGCTAAAATAATTCAGACCGAATTCTCTCATTGATCTAATCATTTTTCGGATCAACATTTACATATTTTAAAAAATTAATATATAAATTATTAATAATAATTAATTTCCATATTTATATCTACTTTAATTGTATTTTTTTTTTTTAATTTGGAACTGAAGCGTTACACTTGCCTTTGAAACACTCATCATATGTTGTCTTTTTTTCCACGAACGTTGGTCCGTTCCCATCAGAAAGGTTGACATTTTGGCAACTAAGCAGTCAAATTACCTCAGACATAGTTGGCCCATGTTCTGCAAATTCTTGGGTGCATGGCAGTGCAACTTGGATGCATCTCAGAATCTCCCATGTGAGAGGATGGATTGGAAATAACTGGATCTATCAAGACGTGAACTCAACGACAAACAATTGTCCAATGTGATTCAAGTCCCCGATGCAATTTTCCAAGTCTTCGAAGATGCCTTTTTCTTATGGAGATTAATTAGTGTATATTGTGATTTAATATATTATATAATATATTTATTAAAATTATTATTTTTTAATATAAAATTAAAAATAAATAAATTAAAAAAAATAATCATACATATAAGATGTAAAAACTAACTGAATCAATCTATATTTATATTATATTTTCCTAATTAAATTAATAAGTGTCAAAAAAAATATTTAATTAAATGTATACTAATAATTTTCCTCTTTTTATTCCAAGATGTGAACTGAAAAAAATGTGCGTCTCAGAATTTCCAAGTTTTAGTACTCTCTTTAATTTGGTTTTTTCTTTTTCGTTTCTTTTAATGAGTTGTTTGAATTTTTTTATGTATTTTTAGATAATATTTTCTTACAATAAATGAATAATAATTAAGATTTTTTTAATGTAATTTTTATTTAGTAGTTTTATTTTGTTAGAAACACTTTCAAATTATTATTTACAATAATATTATAGTTATGATGCAACGTAAAATTATAAATTTATAATCATAATATATCATTAAATAAATATAACTTATTATTAAATAAGTGAATACATATAATACTATAGATGGATTTTGAAGGAAGAAAAGCCAACTATATAATAACATAACATCATATTGTAAGTTTACAATATTACATAATATCGTAATGATATTATTTTTGTATTATTTAGAAAATTTTTAGAGCAAAATTATATTGTTATGATGAAACGTAAAATTATAAATTTATAATCATAA